ATCACTAGGATGCCTCATAAGACCATCTTTGCTGCGTTCTTCTTCATGCCATCTCATGAATGGTGCTGTTTTAGATGACATGAAAAGTCTTTGCAGCCTAGGTTTTAAAGGAAAATATCTCAACACTTTTGCTGGAATCTTTTTAACATTAGAAGATTGATTTTCTTCTTCAATTTCACTCGATTTATCCTGAACATACCTCGGTGTTTTACAAACATGACAAAATGTATCATTCTTATGCTCTTTCCAATACAACATACAATCATTAGGACATGCATGAATTTTCTCACAAGTAAGTCCTAAAGCTCCAATTAGCTTTTGTGCCTCATAGTAAGATTTCGGCAATAACTTGGTGACTTCAGGGAATGCCTCTTTTAACAAGTCTAGAAGCATTGTAAATGACTTGTTAGACCATTTTCCCATACATTTCAAGTGAAAGAGCCGAATAAGAAATGAAAGTTTTGAGAATTTCTTACAGCCAGGATATAAATTAGTTTGGGCATCTTCCAATAACTTATAAAACTCATTAGCTTTCTCATTTGGTGGTTCTTCCATTTCACTATCAACACCATAAACATCATGCACTAAATTGTTGATGTCATCTGTAATACCATAATGCTTATAATGATGGCTAGTTTGGTTAGATGTTACACCTTCTCCATGTGCAATCCAGTTTGTGTAACCTTTGATGAACCCATCAACTATCAAATGATCTTTAGCCATTTCTCGGGTTACCCATTTACCATTTTTACAACACTTACATGGGCATATAATTTTTCCATTAGAAGACACCTTTGAGAAAGCCATATGAAGAAATTCATTTACCCCATTTTCATATTCACTTGATGATCTTGATTTACGCATCCAACTTTTATCCATAATGAACCTGGATAAATAAAAAAGTATACAATTAACATGTAATCTTTTTATATATTCATAAAAGGGATGAAAAATAAAAATAGCATGATATGAGCTTGGGGGGGTTTATTGTATTTATTATGAGGAGTAAACTTTATTAAATAAAAAGTTATATTTCTTCTCACAACATGATTTTACAATGTCCACATACAAGTGATTTTGTTAAAGTCGAATAAACCGTAGATAAAAATTTTGGGTAAATAGTATTGAAGCAAATTATATTTGTATGGAGAACATTATTTTTTACTATTCCCTGGAATCTGCAAATGATTTGGAAGATGATATAGATTAAAAAGAGCATCTTTAACCTGAATTTAGATCATACAAATAATTCACATCATCAATTGTAAATGTATGTAAGCAGTGTGCTTAATTTATTGCTCAATACATCTTGGCATGGACCTTGTTAGTGGAGTTGAGAAATATTAACCTTCATTGAGTCACTTTCTAATATTAACATCATATTAATCATGATAACATATTAATTCAGTTTATATTTTGTTAAAATTTTGGTTAGTCTACTACGATAAATTATTTTGTTTGTTTAAAATTTTGGTTAGTCTAGTACGATAAATTATTTTGTTTGTTTCATCTAAACAAATAATTTCTCATTAAATTAACAACTATTTTCATTCAGTCAAATCTTACATATACATTTACGATATATATATATATATATATATATATATATATATATCAAACTTACGATTCTTTGATTGGAGTTACTGAAATTAAGTTTCTTTCTGGACTATTATAAGGCCCTAAAAATTTACACAACAAACTCAAACCTACCATACAACTAAGACTTTAATGTTATGTAATAGACTCTATGTACTTAATCCAATAGTTTAAATAAGAAATCAAATGATCAGTAGAGGAATCAATTATTATATAAATATATAAACATGATTTTAAAGAGAACAAATTCCTGAATGGTTACTGTTGGTAGTAGCATGCATACTACAGAGTGATAAGTGAAAAGTGATAACAACATCATCAATATGACTTAAAGACATCAAATCTCAACCTGATGTAAGGTTTATTGGAGTATTGTACAAGGTAGAGCATCAACTATTTAAAATCTTCAATAATTGACCCACAAACTAAACAAGATAGTTGATTTCCAAAAAAAATGGGGTAAAAGTTTACCTGAACACCGGCAACAAGTTTCCGTGAAAAAACCCCGCTACACACTTGAAATTCTAACAAAGAATAAGAAGAACGGTTAAACACATGATTAAGCTTGTATTTCATCAAATTGTTCATAAAGGGCAGTCATGAATCATAGGAAATACACAAGCAAGCCATTTACAGAGAACTCTAGAAGATGATAAGTTATTGCTGTTATATTGATGTATAAGTAACATATGGAAAGGTATTTATACTTAAGGTCATTCAGCTTTTAAGTCTTCTCATAAAAAAGAAATCACTACCTCCAGCCCCATTCTTGATTTTTTCTCCATATCCATCAATTTTTTCAATTCAAATTAAAGACTCACAGTTCCTTTTAAGGGTAATTCTAAACCACATCACAATTTATTCACACAATAATTCATACTAAAAAAAATGAAGAAAAAGTTAATGAAAAATATCAATAGTTCATAAATATGAACACTACAGCTAATGCTACTAAAATGTCACTTTAACAAATAACACAAAGTTACCACGAGCCTGACCCCTCACTCAAGAATTTATCAAGTTTGAAGTCTTCTATACAGCATAAATACGATCCAATCTTATCAACCTCAAGTTACCCATATAAGAATCAAATCCAAATTAGATAAGAAAATCTCTTCAATTCAAAATCATGAAAAAAAAAACCCTGCTACACACTTGATAGTTGAAGCCCAGCATACCTAAAAAATTCAATAATTGAAAGTGGCCAGCACCGTCGGAATTCAAGGTAGTTGCTCGCAGAATTCAGAAGCTGCAGTTTACGTCGCCCGACCTCTCGACTTTCGCGACGTAGAAATTGGGTTGTCTGTAATCAAACAATTGGACGCGGTGGACGATTATTTCGGCTAGAGTTTGATGACACCTCGATAGATTTCTAAAACCATGGGGATTTTGGTTGAGCTTTAGGGTATGGAAAAAAATTGGGTGAAATTTTGTTTTGGTTTTTTTCTCGAGCCCAAAAACACTCTTTTTCTTTTTCTAAGGCGCGAGTGTTATTTGCCTTTCCCGCCTAGCCCCGCTTTTTTTTTTTTCGTTTTATGTTTCTTTTATAAATTTTTATTTTGCTGTCAAATTAATAAGTGTCCCATAATAGATATTAGGATACATAATGAAAAGCATCCCAAATAAATGTGTCCCAATATACCTCTTTTGTTGTAGTGGGCGGATCTAGAAAAATAAATTGGGGGGACTAAATAATTTTTTACAAAGACACATATTTAACAACAAAGACATGAAGTTGCAATTTTAGAATTAAAAAAAAAATACTAAAAAAATACATACCTTTCAAACTTCGCTACTACTAGAAATATTTGATAAATGTCTTATTTAAAGAAAATTAAAAAAAGAAAAAAAAGTTGCAAAACATAAAATGTCTTGAGCATCATTGCTAGATTAGTAAGTTTAAAGAGCAAGAATGGAGATTCTAAGGTCAGACTAGTCGAATAATGTTGTTCAAAATATCAACTATGCCTGAAAATTACATATTTCCAACCGAATTATCAAAATCTAGATTCTTCATACATTCAACTTTATTAATCCCTAAATATAAATTGTTCAAAACTCAAAAGGAAGTAAAGAATAAATAAATAATATCATAGACACAAAGGTAAATAAAAGTACTTATAAATATAATTATCCGATCAAGTGATGAATGCTCAAATCTGTGCTTTTTTTCGTTTGTCTGTCTCTTCACTCGACTCCTCGTCTTATCAGCTGCGTGCAGAAAATCAACTTTTATTTTTTGTAATCTTTTATTATGTTTATTTTAATCATTTATTTAATGGTATAAAGAATACTTAATTAACTTAATTTTCTATATTATATAATTTATTAAAGCAAAAAAAAGAAATATAGTGTAACTCTCAAAGAAGAGAAATTTACTTACTTTAATATATATTATAAGGGGGACAAAGTACTTAAATATACATAATGTTATATATTATATATGTTATACATACATAGTACTAATAAAAAAAAAAATTGGGGGGACCATAGCCCTCCTAAGGTGAATGTGCCTCTGTCCCTGATCATAATAATAATAATAATAATAATAGATTTCGTGTGAATGGATATAAACTGTAATTTTTATATTGAAATGTACATCAATAATTAATTTTTAATTTAAATATTATATTAAACATGTACGAAAAGAAAATAAAAGTAAAAATATAAATAAATAGTGTAAATTTATTTGGGGATGAAATATGTACATCTTTTTAATATTCAATCCTATCTTAAGAATTTAGTTTGCATTTGAAATGTCTTCCCACTAACATGAAAAATTGACATTTACGTGGCATGCATTTAGCCAATAAAATAGTGTAAACGTCGAATTTATAGGAGCAATCAATTCGGTCACGCACATCTTTTTGGATCAACCATAAAATTTTTGGTTGGTGAATATATTCGTTGCCTTTATATGCCCTCTCTCGTGCTTAGACAGTCATAAAATGCCACATTTTGCTAACCCCACGCAATAATAATAGCAGTGCTAAAGTTTCACAGTTTAATCATGAAACCCACCAACTCTCCACCACCTTCTTTATCATTAGTGAAAAAAAAATTTTATCATCTGAACTATCACAATTTGGCGCTTTATCGTACAAACTTTTTTTTTTTTGCAAACTACTACCTCAACTATGCTAGTTTGTGAAATTGCTCCCTATACCAGGTTTAAGCCCGGTTTCACTTCATTCAAACTGGTTTCCTTAAGGTATTTTAGGAATTTAAGATATTTAAAAAAAATAAAAAAATAAAAAATTCTTTCTCATCTGCAGCATTACAATCGAGAACACCTGCACCCCTCTCACGAAACTTGTAACCATTGATGCATTTTACAGTTGGGACAAACAAAAAACTTGTCTATTTACTCATCAAGCAAATGAACTTGTCTAAAAAAATGCCAAATGCCAAATCGAGAAAGAAGAAAAGCTCCAATCTATTCACTCATCAAGCAATTGGGGAAATCGAAGAAGAAATGCCCCAATCCTCCTGATCCAACTTCTTCTCCAAGCCTTGGCTCATCGCTATTGAAGACCTCGAAGATGGTGTATTTGACGCGGTTCTCGAGGTTGAGGAGAAGTTCGAAGTTGCAGGGGTCGATGTCTGCGTCAATGGTGACGACAAAGAAGCCGATGCATGCGAGGAAGAGGCCGAATTTGGAGGTGGTGTTGGTTTTAGGTTGTGCTGAGGGCTCGAGTGGATGCGGCGGCTAGGGTTTTCGTCGATCTCCTGAGGAAATTTTTGGGGGTGAGGTGCGGCGGTGAGGGTTTGGCACATGCGGGTTTCAAGATGCCGTATTTGATTGATTTTTTTTTTGAATTAAAAAATAAAAATAAGTTAATAGGTGAGAATTTGACAAAGAATAGGGGTTAATTTGTCATATTTGAATAGTCTATAAATTGTGATTTGGTCTTTTGGGTACTTTTGTAATATTTTAAAAATTTGCAGTTCCCTAAATATCCTTGTAAATCAGCTTTTTTCCTACAAAACAACTTTAGAAACGGTTTTAGAGGGCAAAGTGAAAAAAAAACGTACAGTTAATATGGTGGTTTGCAGAAAGAAAAAGTTTGTATGGTAAAACGTCAAAATCGTGATAATTCGGGTGGTAAAAAGTTTTTTTCCCTTATCATTATCGTTAATCTTCAACTTATAAATCAACCTCAACTAAAATTATTTTTAATAACGTAAATCGCATCAGTTTCTGTGAATAATTTTCCCATTTATAATTTGAGTGATAAAGCATAACTAACGTTAGCCAGGTCAAATAAATGTACTCTGTATAACCCAATATATATGTTCAATTTTATTATAAAAAAAATATTCATCAAATGCCAAATGTTAAGATATATAACATGAGAGATAATCTATTTTTACATACCACATAAATTAAACATAGTCCAATCTTATTTGTATTGAAAACAAAAATCAAATAGAAGGTATGGAATGATTTGTGACCCTAAGCATTTCTTGAAATTGGCTAAAATAATGGACATGCTATGACTGTCTATATCATCACGAACATATAATTAGAAAAGCAAAAGAAAAATGCTAGTAAAAATGAAGGTGTAGTTTCAATTTCCTTTTTTTCGAAATTTTGACTAATGTCGACACTAATATTCCTTTTAACACAATTTAAACTTTCCTGAATTGAAACAACCAACCACATACCGCGCAGAATAAAAACTGCTTTATATATCCATTTAATCATCCACATATTTAGTTCAAAAGCAATTTATTTACATCAAATTTAACTTAAAACGAAACTATTCCCCTTAATTAAGGTAAAATTATTCAAAAATAACAATACCAGAAAGAAAAAAGATAATTAAGTTACATTTAGGGGGGGAAAAAACAAAGGAAAAGCTTAAGCTTAATCTCCTGCAGCGTCGTCGAGCGAGAGCTGTTTCAGCCACTCCGACGTCCGGTGATGCGACGACTGCTTTCTCGCCGGCCGTTTTTTCACTCCCATCGCCGGCTTAATCCCCTCCCCACTCTCTCCCCCGGGCGCGTCAACCCCACTCTCGCCCGCGCTCCTCTTGATAACCACGACTCTGCCTCTAACCGTATTATCAACCACGTCCGCCGAGCACTTGCACCCGCCGAGCAAACTCAGATTCCTCCTCCTCGTCACGCTCGAGCTTCCGGCGGAGCTCCCGCTGCTCTCCGTGCTGTTCCGGCTCCCGAATCCCCTGCTGCTGGCCCGCGGCTTCAGATCCTGGAACGCGATGTCCGGCGGTGGCGCCGCCAGTATCCCCAGCCGGAAAATGCTCCACGCCGGAGATCTCTTGGCGGAGCCGCTCCTCCGGTTGGCGCCGACCGAGCGGCGCTTGCTTGGGAGATGGATTCTCGGCGACGGGCTCGGGTAAGAGTGGAATTGGTTTCGTGCCGGCGGAAATTCGGGTCGCCCGCCGGAGCTTCCGCTGCCGCTGCTGCTGGATGACTGGTGGCTGCCGATGCTGCTGCTCCGGCTCGAGATTAGTCCGGCCGAGTCGCAGTAGAGGTGGTCCATTGATTCGGATCTGGAAACCGATCGGGTCATGTGGTGGCGCTGTGGCGGTAATAATCCCCGATCGGAGCTGATTGAGTGGCGGAGAGGCAGAATTTGGCCACCGAAAAAGATCTCGTCGGCGGCGCACATTTCGGATTCTTTTGAAACCGAACAAAAATCGAAATCCTCGTGGATTTGATCCTCCGTGTGGGCCCGATTGCAAATTTGTTCTTCCTTATCGGTGTTTTTTGGGATGAGTGGGAGGGCACTAAACGACAGCGTTTCGTCTTCGTACTCTTCCTCTGTTTCGGTTTCTGCAGTTTCTTGCAATTCTACTGCGTTCTCGCTATCCCATCTCTCGTCACCGCCAATATTATCCATCTCTCACTAATAACAAAAGGGGGAAAAAAAAGAGATGTATTTGCGAGTTGGATGGTCTCCTTCAAATTTATTTGTGTCGAGGGCTCTTTATACGTGAATAGGAAATTGAAATATAAAAAGGAAATCGAGAAGCTTTAAAATACTTTGATTTGATGTGCTTTTCTTGTTTTTGAGTCAAGAGATCTAAATCAGGAGGCCCCTTTTAACTCAGCGTGCGCTTCATTCTACTCATTGTTC